GCTCTCTAGACGCGGACTCGTCTTTCTTCTAATTCTTCTTTTCCTTTCTCATTTTTCAGATTATTAGAAAATTATTATCTTCGTGAGACTACAATACTTTTTTTTTTTTGGAAATATTGTGGTCAGAAGCAGAGTCGGGATTTTGAAGTTTATGAATTTTGAATTTTCATGGAAACCCTAGGTCATCTTTGCTACTATCGCGATTAAATATTTATACATATTTAATGAATTTCTAATACAATATATTGTCTTAGCAAAAGTAACTGCGTTCAGCAAAACCAACACCTAATAGAGTTGCTCTGCCCCTGATTGTGGTTTGTTGAACTAACTACGGTAAGACGTGAAAATACCCGATCCCAGTCCGACCTCGATATGTGGAATCGTCTTGCGCCATATGTACTGAGATTGTTCGGGAGCGGTGAAATTTCCTTAAATTTTTTAGAAGATACTTTTCTCTTTCATTCATCATCATCAGCATCATCATTATCGTCATTCATTTTTCAAACATGGCAAGCATTACTTAAAAAAGCAAAGCTGCAGATTCTTTTTCTATACTAAAAATAAGTACAGGTTTATCTATTACTAATATATTTAAATACACAAATAATGAAAGTTTTTTTATTACGTATCAATATATATAATTTAATTGTAAACCATACTTTACTGTTCAAATAATATGACCACCCTCAACTACTGAGGTGGACATCAAGTCCTTTGTTCCCCAAATTGTCTCCCTTTTTTACTTCTCTTTTATGATTCCAAACTGTCTTGTTAGTTGTCATCAAATTCATTGATTACTTCCATGAATATTTTATCCCACGTATTTTTATTTTCTCTTCTTTTTTCTCACTATAAACCTACGTACACATGCATTAAGGCATAAAATAGCATAATTGATAGTTAAATTCTTACACTAATATTTTTTTTATTTACCTGACCTAAGAAACTTTGTTGACTTTCAAACACTGAAAATTCTCATGAAACACCAAAGTTGACAGCCACACAACGACATGAGCATCAATCATAAACTTTGCGATTCCTAGTTTTTATTCTTGAGGTTGATTAAGATATTATATAGTTTTTGCCTTGGAATAGGAATAAATTGAAGAAATAAAAATGGATTAATTGTTTTAATTAGTTACTCTTTCCGGTTCACAATAAGTGACCATTTTACCTTTGGTAAGGAAATACGAATTCCTAGAGAAAAAAAAAGATATATTCACTTAATTAGTCTTAACTAATTGTTACCTTGACACATTGGAATATGTAAACAACGGCAAATTTTGGAAAGATAAAATTAATTCCTTCTTGATTATGTAAATGGACACTTATTTTAGACCAAAATAAAAATGTAAAATGGTCACTTATTGTGGACCGGAGGGAGTATTAACGTGCTAATAGGTTAAATGATATCAATTTCAAATACTTTTGGAAGATTGCGCTTTTAGTCCTTGAAATATTAACAAACTTCGATATTTGCCCTTGTGTTGTTTCGCAAAGTATTTTTAACTTTCAATTAATTGAAAATTAGTATAGAAATGACACCACGTAGTCATTCTAGATGGATGCTATTTGAAATTAGTCAGCGTATCCTGAATTTCAGTTTTTCAGTTCAAATTTTCTGGACACAAGTCCTGAAGTTAAATTTTTTAGTTCAAATTTTCAGGACAAAATAAATACTAGCTAAATCCTAAATACTAGGAATATGTGTTTGGTAGTGTATATCTTATATTTAAGAAAAAACTGACAAATAACCGAAAAAACGGAAAAACCGACATAAACCGAATCGAGAAAAACCGACTTAATTGGTTTGGTTTGGTTCTAATATTTGAAAAACCGACTTACTTGGGTTGGTTGCTTTTTAGGGAAAAATCGATCCAAACCGAACCATGAACACCCCTAAGTCAAGATCAAAGATGGTATTGTCAAGACATTCTATGTGAATACTCGAAATCAATTTGCTGACTTGCTCACCAAAGCATTATGTCAAGCTCAACACCTGCATCTTTTAGGCAAGCTTGGTGTGCTGAATATTCTGCACCCTTCAGCTTGAGGGGAGTATTATGATTTGTAGTTGTATAGTGTTAATTCTTTTTCTCTTATACTCATAGGTAATAGGCCGTTAATAGTTATTTAATTGGTTAGTTAGGGGTGACACGTGTCAGTAGCTCATTGGTAAGTTAAATGTTAGTGAAGTTAGTGGAGAAGCACTTCTGTATATACTCCTCTGCAAAGTTTGAGCAATACACACAATCATTTTACCAAATGTTTCATTCTCCTTCTTCTCTGTCAATCTAGAACCTTCTACCATTGAAGGACCTATCGAGCTTGAAGTTCTAAGTGCAGAATTGCACCATTTTGATAAATTCGGAATTTTAAATCAGTAAGTGAATGACATTACTTCATAAATCATTATTTTATATCACCAAGGTGCAGATGTAGTGTTTATTTTTTTAATTCAAAATCGTTCAGCTACAGAGGCATATTCAGGATTTAAACTTTATGAGTTCATATCAACTATTTATTGTAATTTTAGTAAATTTTATACATAATTTTATGTTCCGCGTTGAAAGTTCTGGATTCAAATGAACCTGATGCTAAAAAGTTGGATACACCCCCGTTGAGCTATGTATATGAGATAGATACTTTTATCATCAATAATTGTTTATTTTCCAAATTCCATTTGGTTTTGCTTCATTATTTATCCTAGCTCTGTTTCAACAGAAAATAAAATTATAATTAGGAGATTTAAGAAGCTGTATGTATTGTATTATTGTTGACTGACACATGATGTTGGTGGAATTAGTCACTAATTATATTTTGCAGTTTAGAGAGTTATTAAATATAAAAGTGCCAGGTTTGTTGAACTAGAAACATCCCTCCTTTAATTTAACATCATCATCTTTTTCTTCTTTCTTCTAATTCTTCTTTTCCTTCTCATTTTTTCAGATTATTAGAAAAGTATTATCTTCGTGAGACTACAATACTTTTTTTTTTTTGGAAATATTGTGGTCAGAAGCAGTGTCGGGATTTTGAAGTTTATGAATTTTGAATTTGTCATGGAAACCCTAGGTCATCTTTGCTACTATCCGCGATTAAATATTTATACATATTTAATGAATTTCTAATACAATATATTGTCTAAGCAAAAGTAACTGCGTTCAGCAAAACCAACACCTAATAGAGTTGCTCTGCCCCTGATTGTGGTTTGTTGAACTAACTACGGTAAGACGTGAAAATACCCGATCCCAGTCCGACCTCGATATGTGGAATCGTCTTGCGCCATATGTACTGAGATTGTTCGGGAGCGGTGAAATTTCCTCAAATTTTTTAGAAGATACTATTCTCTTTCATTCATCATCATCAGCATCATCATTATCGTCATTCATTTTCAAACATGGCAAGCATTACTCTAAAAAAGCAAGCTGCAGATCTTTTTCATCTAAAAATAAGTCAGGTTATCTATTACAATATATTTAAATACACAAATAATTTAAATTTTTTATACGATCAATATATATAATTTAATTGAAACCATACTTTACTGTTCAAATAATATGACCACCCTCAACTACAGAGGTGGACATCAAGTCCTTTGTTCCCCAAATTGTCTCCCTTTTTTTCTTCTCTTTTATGATTCCAAACTGTCTTGTTAGTTGTCATCAAATTCATTGATTACTTCCATGAATATTTTATCCCACGTATTTTTATTTTCTCTTCTTTTTCCTCACTATAAACCTACGTACACATGCATTAAGGCATAAAATAGCATAATTGATAGTTAAATTCTTACACTAATATTTTTTTTATTTACCTGACCTAAGAAACTTTGTTGACTTTCAAACACTGAATTAGTCAGCGTGTCCTGAATTTCAGTTTTTCAGTTCAAATTTTCTGGACACAAGTCCTGAAGTTAAATTTTTTAGTTCAAATTTTCAGGACAAAATAAATACTAGCTAAATCCTAAATAGCAATCTTAAAAATAGCTATCTGTGTATTTCCCCCAAAATTAGTTGATTATATACAGTCAACCCTTGCTATAACAACATCCTTATATAAAAACACTTCACTATAAAAGTAAGCTTTTTGTGAAATCAAATTTAATGCTATGTTATAATATACGTTCTCTATAACAACAGTTCGTTATAACATCCAAACGAGGTTGTTATAGAGAGACTTGCTTGTATTAAATCCGCCTCGAATGAAGTCCATTATTGATGTCAAAATCAGTTGAGTTGGAAAATTGGGTCCATTACATGTACTTATTTGCTTTAGGTACCTTAAGCATTGCTTATAATTCATCACATCAAGGGACCATTTATACAAACATATGCTTTCATCACTTAAAGAATGACAACGTATGTGGGGTTACTTCTGTAATATAAAAACTAACAGAATTGGAAGGTATCTTTAACTAATGGATATAGTTTTGGAATTGTTAATTAATGCCCTCAAGTGTTAGTTATATGACATTTAATTCCAACGACATGTATCTATATTTAGAGTACGTAACAGAAATTATATATAAGGCTTGTGTATTTGCATACCTTATGACATTGAATTCACGGGTACTTTAACAACTGAAAAAATGCAAAAATCGACTGATAATATTGACCTAAAAATCGATCGAAGTCTTTTTTACTGAATGTTAACCTACCAATTTTCATAAAAATAAAAGGAATAAAAATCAAACAGTGAAATGAAAATTATTGGACTGATAAATGATATGATGTAAAGTACAACTTAAATGACAAAAGAATTGCAATAATAAAATAAAGGATTAAAGGAAACAACAAATAATGAATTATAAATTTTGATATCACGCCTTAAAATCAAGAAAGAGATCCCTTAAAATTATGTTATGTTGGAGAATGGCCTTCTGAAAACACGTTGAAAATGAAAGATGAAGCTTTAATAATATGGAGGAGGTGGTGATGGAGAAGGGGTAGAAGATGATTGATAATAGTATGAAGGTGGTGGTGATGGTGAAGGAGGAGGGAGTGAATTATAGTAATATGGTGGTGGAGGAGACGGTGAAGGTTTCTTGTAGTAGTCATTCTTTGGCAAGGAGGGTACCTTGTATTCCGGTTTAGGCGCTAAGGGTACCTTGTAGTAGTTATCTTTTGGAACAGATGTCACCTTATAGTTATCTTTTGGAGTTGAAGGTTTCTTGTAGTAGTCATTCTTTGGCAATGAGGGCACCTTGTATTCCGGTGTAGGCACTGAGGGTATTTTGTAGTAGTTATCTTTTGGAACAGATGGCACCTTATAGTTATCTTTTGGAGTTGAAGATTTCTTGTAGTAGTCACTCTTTGGCAACGAGGGCACCTTGTATTCCGGTTGAGGCACTGAAGGTACCTTGTAATAGTTATCGTTTGGAAGAGATGGCACCTTGTAGTTATCTTTTGGAACTGATGGCTTTTTGGAGTAATCATTCTTTGGCAAAGATGGTGCCTTGTATTCTTGCTTACGCACTGAGGGTACCTTGTAGTAGTTATCCTTTGGAACAGATGGCTTTTTGTAGTAGTCACTCTTTGGTACTGATGGCACCTTGTATTCCGATTTAGGCGTTGAGGGTGCCTTGTAATAGTTATCTTTTGGAAGAGATGACACCTTCTTGTAAGTATATTTTGAAATTGATGGTTTCTCGTAGTAGTCATTCTTCGACAAAGATGGCACCTTGTATTCGGGTTTAGGCACTGTGGGTGCCTTGTAGTAATTATCTTTTGGAACAGATGGCACCTTCTTGTAGTCATCTTTTGGAACAGATGGCTTCGTGTAGTAGTTATCCTTTGGCAAAGATAGTGCCTTGTATTCTTGTTTAGGCACTGAGGGTACCTTGTAATTGTTTTTGGACCCCTGTGGCACTTCGTAATTGTCTTTTGACACTGGTACTTTATTATATGATGAAACTGGTGATTTATAAGAATCAGGTGAATATGCTATAGTGCAAGTTGCAATCAAGAAAAATGCGAAAGCACAAGCAAATTGATGACATTGCTTCTTCATTTGGCTCCCCATTGAGAAGATTTGGGTTCTAAGGCTTGTTTTGTTTCTTTTTTGTGTATTTGAGAATGGTGTAACTAGGAGTTTATATAGCCTAAACTAAGAAGGTGACTTGATAATTTGGATGCTTATAATATAATCCAAACTCATATGAGATTTCTCCATTTTTTTTGTTTATGTTGTTCCACTAAGGTCTTGAAATAATGGAGAGCCATGAATAAATCACAACTTTGCTTGACTAACTTATATTTAAAAAAAGATCAAGATTTCAAGAAAATGTTCCCATGTCTACATACATTTCCAAACTAGTGGCAATAAAGGAAAATAGAGAAACTGCTTTGTTTTTCTATATTTTCTGAGCTTATACATTTTACTTAATTTTAATTAAACCCTTCTTAGCGCTAATTTTATTAGAATTGAAAAGTTTATACAAGCTCAGAAAATCAATGGAGCTGGAATAACAATTCCTTATTATATTTTGGGTACAATTTTTCAAATGATTGTTAAATTCGGTTAACAAATTGGAAGGAAAAGGGATAACAAAAAGTGTGTCAAAAAATCAACTTAACACTATTAACTTACTCGTGTCTAATGGGTCTGACGTGAATATTTTTATGTGAATAGAGAAAATTGTTACACTAAGGGTGTGTTTGGTATAACGGAAAATGTTTTCCGCGAAAAATATTTTCCAAGAAAATGTTTTCTTGGAAAACAAGTAGTAATCTTATTCATTTTCCGGTGTTTGGTACGCAAATTAAGGAAAATGACTTCTCAAGAGTATTCATAAATAATTTAGATATAATAAACACGAAGCCATAAACTTTCAAACCAACAACCTTCCGAACTCACAAATTTTATGAACTTTCGAACCACTAAACTTTTAAAACCGCAAAATTTCGAACCCGTAAACTTCCAAACACATAAACCTCCGAACTCATAATTTTGGAACTTGTAAAATTTTGAACCTTTAAACCGATAAATAAAAAAATTAAAACTGAAAAATATATTTAAAAAATATTTTTTTCGGGGGGGGGGGGGGGGGGGGGGACAGTAAAACGAAAAAAAACAGAAATTTATATTACAAAAAAAAAGTAAAATTTTTTTTTGTGCGGGGGTTGGGGTGGGTGGTGCAGAAAAACGAAAAAATAGAAATTTAAAACTGCAAAAAAAAAAAAATAAAGGTAAAAAAATAAATTTTCTTGCAGGAGGGGGTGGGGGGTAGGGTGGGGTGGAGGGATAGTAGGGTACCGGTGGGTGGTAACAGAAAAACTGAAATTTGAAAAAAAAAATGCTTTTTTGGAGAGAGGGGGTAGGGTGGGTTGGTGAGGGCGGGGAAGGTTGACAAGGAGTTTTGGAAAATGTTTTCCCTTCTCTTGATAAGGAAAACATTTTCCTCCAATTGGAGAAAAATGAGTTCATAAGAAAAATGTTTTCTAAAATATTTAAGCCAACCAAACATGAGGAAATTAAAAAATATTTTTCGGAAAATGTTTTCCTTCGTACCAAACACACCCTAAAAGTTGGTAACCAATATGTATGTATCGGCCTAACAAATGTCCATTATTTGATCATTTAAGAATCAAATATCCTTGATGCTGCAGATATAACTTGAGCACGATTTGTAATTCACATCATGCAAGTCATGATTTTCATCGCAAAGAAATAAGAATATATGATACACCAATCAAGGATATGGTAGAATTAATATGATCGTTCTATCCTTAACCAGGAAATCTCAGACTTAAGTCTCGGAAATAAAAAATTATTCCTTGTAGGGAGTGTTTTTCCCTTTTGTGGTCTCTATGTGGTGCAAATCTGGATTAATCGGGCAAATGAGTATCGGATATCAAATGGCTAGACGGGAAAAATATATATATATATATATTATATTGTATTATTTTGGGTTTAATCCAGTTTTGATACCAATTAACAAGAAAAACTGGAAGCTATCAATCACTATCTCATTATTTTTATCTATAGTAAATCAATGCACGCAAAGTGTTAGTCCAGTGATATTCTATTTCTAGTATCATACATTAACATTTAGAAAGCCATTAAAGATAGAGTACCTAAAAATTAAACTCATTCTTTTTATCTAAATATTTTGCTATTGGACAGAGCTTTCTACCTCTGATTGTGACCAATGTTAACTTGCTAAGCTGAAGTTGATGAAAAATTAAGTATCTACACGAATTGTTATATATATATATATATATATATATTCGAGTGTTTTTCTATTAAATTTATGTGAAAAAATTGGGGATTGCTGGAAGAATAGGTGAAAATACATAAAAGGAACTTGTATTCAACTGAAACAATTCTCTGGAAACATTCAAAAATACAATTTAAATGACAAAACAATTGCCAACCGAATAAGGAAAAGAAAGAAACAACAAATTATATTAAATTTTTTGATATCGTGCCTTCAACTCAAGACCCTTGAGATTATGTTGTGTTGGAAAATGGCCTTCTTGATACATGTTGAACATGAAAAATGGGAATTTAATAATATGGAGGAGGTGGTGATGGAGAAGGGATTGAAGATGATTGATAAGAGTAAGGAGGCGGGGGTGATGGTGAAGGAGGAGAGGGCGAATTGTAGTAGTATGGCGGTGGAGGAGAAGTTGAAGGTTTCTTGTAGTAGTCATTCTTGGGTAAAGATGATACTTTGTATTCTTGTTTAGGCATTGAGGGTATCTTGTAATAGTCAGGTTTTGGAACGGATGGTTCTTTGTAATACTCAGGCTTTGGAACTGATGGCTTTTTGTAGTAATCATTCTTTGATACAAATGGCACCTGGTATTCCGATTTAGGCACTGAGGGTACCTTATAGTATTTATCCTTTGGAACAGAAGGCACCTTGTAGTTATTCTTTGGCACTGATGGCTTTTTGTAGTATCCATTCTTTGGTACGGATGGCACCTGGTATTCCGGTTTAGGAACTGAGGGTACCCTATAGTAGTTATCCTTTGGAACAGATAGCACCTTGTAGTTATTCTTTGGAACTGATGGCTTTTTGTAGTAGTCATTCTTTGGTACAGATGGCACATTGTATTCCTGTTTAGGCTTTGAGGATGCCTTGTAAACTGATGGTTTCTTATAGTAGTCATTCTTTGGCAAAGATGGCGCCTTGTATTCTTGTTTAGCCACTGACGGCACCTTGTAATAGTTGTTTTTTGGAAGAGATGGCACCTTCTTGTAGTTATATTCGGGAACTGATGGTTTCTTGTTGTACTCATTCTTTGGCAAAGATGGCGCCTTGTATTCCGGTTTAGGCACTGTGGATGCCTTGTAATAGTTATCTTTTGGAACAGATGTCACCTTCTTGTAGTTATCTTTTGCAACTGATGGCTTCGTGTAGTAGTTATTCTTTGGCAAAGATGGTGCCTTGTATTCTTCTTTAGACACCGAGGGTACCTTGTAATCGTTCTTGGACACTTGTGGCACTTCGTAATTGTCTTTTGACACTGGTACTTGATTATATGATGGAACTGGTGATTTATAAGAATCAGGAGAATATGCCATAGTGCAAGTGGCAATCAAGAAAAATGCCCAAGCACAAGCAAATTTATGCCATTGATTCTTCATTTGGCTCCCCATTGAGAAGATTTGGGTTCTAAGGCTGATTGGATTATTGTTTTCTTTTTTGTGTATTTGAGAATGGTGTAACTAGGAGTTTATATAGCCTAAACTAAGATAGTGAGTTGATAATTTAGATGCTTATAATAATCCAATATCATATGAGATTTCTCCATTTTTTTGTTAATGTTGTTCCACTAAGGTCTTGAGTAATGGAGAGCCATGAATAAATAACAACTTTGCTTGACTCACTTATAATTTTTTAAATAATAAAGATCCAGAATTAATTGGCTTTCAATAAAATGTTTCCATGTCTACATACATTTCTAAACTAGTGACAATAAAGGAAAATAGAGAAACTGCTTTGTTTTTCTATATTTTCTGAGCTTATATATTATACAATTTCACTTCATTTTTATTAAGCCTTTTGTAATACCTTACGCCTTTTTAATGCTAATTTTGTTGAAATTGAAAAGCTTGTACAAGTTCAGCAAATCTATGAAGCTGGATTAACAATTCCATATTACATTTTGGGTACAATTGTCAAATGATTGTCTAATTCTTTTAACAAATTGGATAGTAAAAATTGTTTCAAAAAGCAACTTAACAATATTAACTTACTCGTGTCTAATAGGTCTGACATAAATATTTGATGTGGATTCTTCAAAATTGTTACGTTAAAAGTTGGTAACAATTTATAAGCAACCACTAATGCTTGTATTAAGGTAGGTTGTCTATATTACACCGTTAGAGTATGACTTTTTCCCAGGCCATGCGTGAATATAAAATACTTTATACATCGGACTGTTCTTTATCGATATATACTAGAAAGTTACACAAATGCATATCCAATATGTATATATCGGCCTAACAAATGTCCATTATTTGATAATGTAAGAATCAAAGTTGGAAGGTTGGGTCCATCATATATGTCCTTGATGCTGCAGATAACCTAACAACAACTTATAATTCACATCATGCAGGCCATGATTTTCCTCGCGAAGAAATAAGATTAGATGATACACCACCAAAAGATATGGTGGAATATGATCCTTTCATTTTCAATTAGAGGTTTCAGATTTAAGCTTTGGTAACGGAGAATTCCTGATAGAAAATGTTTTACCTTTTGTGGGCTCTATGTGACGCAAATCTAAATTAGTCGGGCAAATAAGTATCGGATATCAAATGGTTAAACCAAAAATAAATAAATTATAGTGTATCATTTTGGATTTTAATTCAGTTTTGATACAAATTAACAAGAAAATTGGAACTATGCATGCAAAGAGCTGGTCTTTTTAGTATACTGAACTAGTAAAAAGGAACAAATTGAGGTAGATTTCATAAAACATTACATTAATTTTTTCCCGTTAAAGTCACACAACTTTATTTTGTCACGTAAAAATCACAAGACTCTGACTATAGTAACGAAAAAACTAATCACAGTGTACACAAACCCAACCCTTTCGGCGCACTAAAATAATTTTTACTAACATTTTAACCAATTTTTTGTCAAACTAATGAATACCCGGTAGGAATTAAAGTATATTCAAGTAATCGAGTATTTCAAAAATTAAGTGGTTATTGAGTGCCTAAAAAATTAAATTCATTCTTTTTAATAAAAAATTTTGCTATTCGACAGAGCTTTTCCACCGACGTTGGCCCTAATTGTAGTGGAAAGAGTAATATTTTAAGGAAAACTAAAATATAATTTCATTCGTATGAAATATTATTTCATTCTAATAACTTATGAAATATTATTTCGGGGTGAATATATAAAGTGAGAATTGACTATATGCTACCAGTGGCGCGGATCTACATTGGCATTTGTGGGTGCTTAAGCACTCATTGCCTTTAATCATATGTAGTAAATTTGCATCGGCAATTATAAAAATATGTAGATAAAATATTGAGTGACCACCCATAATTAATTTTTTTTTCTCTTCTTTTAGAATTTTTATCAGTCAGCACCCATAACTTTAAAATTCTGAATATGCCACTATATGCTACCGAACTTGATCAATAAATTTATGTGAAGAAATTGGGGATTGCTGGAAGAATAGGTGAAAATACATAAACTAGATCAATAAAAGGAACTTGTATTCAACTGAAACAATTCTCTGGAAACTAACATTCAAAATACAATTTAAATGACAAAACAATTGCCACTCGAATAATGACAAGAAAGAAATAACAAATTAAGAATTAATTTTTTTTTTTGATATCATGCCTTCAACTCAAGACCTTTGAGATTATGTTGTGTTGGCAAAATGGCCTTCTCCAAACATGTTGAACATATGGAAATTTAATAATATGGAGGAGGTGGTGATGGAGAAGGAGTTGAAGATGATTGGTAAGAGTAAGGAGGTGGTGGTGATGGTGAAGGGGGAGGGGGTGAATTATAGTAGTACGGCGGTGGAGGAGAAACTGAAGGTTTCTTGTAGTAGTCATTTTTTGGTAAAGTTGGCACTTTGTATTCTTGTTTAGGTATTGAGGTTACCTTGTAATAGTCAGTTTTTGGAACTGATGGCTTTTTATAATAGTCATTCTTTGGAACTGATGATTTTTTGTAGTAGTCATTCTTTGGAACTGATGATTTTTTGTAGTAGTCATTCTTTGGTACAGATGGCATTTGATATTCCGGTTTAGGCACTGAGGGTACCTTATAGTAGTTATCCTTTGGAACAGATGGCACCTTGTAGTTATTCTTTGGAACTGATGGCTTTTTGTAGTAATCATTCTTTGGTACAGATGGCACCTTGTATTCCTGTTTAGGCGTTGAGGGTGCCTTATAATAGTTATCTTTTGGAGCTGATGGTTTCTCGTTGTAGTCATTCTTTGGCAAAGATGGTGCCTTGTATTCCGGCTTTGACACTGTGGGTGCCTTGTAGTAATTATCTTTTAGAACAGATGGCACCTTCTTGTAGTTATATTCTGGAACAGATGGTTTCGTATAGTAGTCATTCTTTCGCAAAGATGGCACCTTGTATTCTGGCTTAGGCACTGAGGGTGCCTTGTAGTAGTTATCTTTTGGAACAGATGTCACCTTCTTGTAGTTATCTTTTGGAACTGATGGCTTCGTGTAGTAGTTATCCTTTGGCAAAGATTGTGCCTTGTATTCCTGTTTAGGCACTGAGGGTACCTTGTAATCGTTCTTGAACACTTGTGGCGTTTCGTAATTGTCTTTTGAAACTGGTACTAGGCTTGGTACTTTGTTATATGTTGGAACTGGTGATTTATAGGAATCGGTTGTATATGCCATTGTGCAAGATGCAATCAAGAAAAATGATAAAGCACAAACAAATTGATGCCATTGCTTCTTCATGCTCCCCATTGAGTAGATTTGGGTTTTAAGGCTATTTGGATTATTGTTTGTGTATTTGAGAATGGCGTAACTAGGAGTTTATATAGCCTAAACTAAGATAGTGACTTAATGATTTGGATGCTTAAAATAATCCAAACTCATTTTAGTTTTTCAGCATATTTTGGTTAATGCTGTTCCACTAAGTTCTTGAGATAATGGAGAGCCATGAATAAATCACAACTTCCCTTGACTCACTTATATTTAAAAAATAAGATCCAGAATTTATTGACTTTCAAAAAAATGTTTCCATGTCTACATACATTTCTAAACTAGTGGCAATAAAGGAAAATAGAGAAATTGCTTTGTTTTTCTATATTTTCTGAGCTTATACATTTCACTTCATTTTAATTAAGCCTTTTTAATACCTTACGGATTATGCCTTCTTAGCACTAATTTTATTAAATTGAAAAGTTTATACAAGCTCAGAAAATCTATGAAGCTGGAATAACAATTCTTTATTACATTTTAGGTACACTTTTTCAAATGATTGTTTAATTCTTTTAAAAGATTGGATAATAAAAAAGTGTTTCAAAAAGCAACTTAACACTATTAACTTACTCGGGTCTCATTCTGACGTGAATATTTTATGTGGATTCTTCAAAATTATTACACTAAGAGTTAGTAACAATTTATATATGTATCCATCTGTACTAAAAATTTATACAAATGCGTATATATCCGGTAGGTGTGTATCGGCCTAAGATGTCCATTATCAGGGGCGGATGTAGCCTTTCGATTGAAGCCATAATTTTCGATACTGAATAAGAATTTATATGTAAAAACCTACTAAAATCTCAACAAGTATTAAATTTGAACCCATAATTTAATAGTACAATGAGTTTAATATGAATTTTTTTAATAATTGAACCCACTAAATTTAATCTTGGATCGACATCTTCCATTACTCATGTACGCATCAAAGTTGGAAGGTTGGGTCCATCATATAAGTCCTTGATGTTGCAGATAACCTAACAGTGGCTTATAATTACGTCATGCAGGGCCATGATTTTAATCGCTTAGAAATAAGAATATATGATACACCACCGAAAGATATGGTGGAATGAATATGATCCCTTCATACTTTGGTAGTGGAGAGTTCCTGATTGAAATGTTTTCTCCTTTGGTGTATTCTAATTTCTATGTTGTGCGAATCTAGATTAGTCGGGTAAATACGTATCAGATATCTAACGGTTAAACTAAAAATAAATAAATTATAGTGTATCATTCTGTATTTAATTCGGCTTTGATACAAATTAACAAGATAAATTGGAACCTATCAATCACTATCCCACTATTTTCTGGTTGGTTAATCAATGAATGCAAAGTGTTAGTCCAGTGATATTCTAATTCTAATGTCTTACATTTATATTTAGAAAGCCATGAAAGATAGAGTTGCATGCTTGATAGAAAAGCATATAACGTTAGAACTTTCTCGACTTGATTAACTGAGGTGGTCTTTTTAGTATACTGAACTAGTAAAAGGGAATAAATGAAGGTAGATTTCATAAAACATCACATTAATGTTATTGGGGAAAAATCAATATACTTCTAATGTCGAATCAGGATCAACTAGGGCTTCTCGCGAACCACGGGAGCGCCTAGCGCCCAGAGGAGCAAAGCTCATTTTCCTTTCAGGGTAAAGCGGCGCATAAAAAAGGGCTGGCCTGTCAAAAGTCCGGTTCCTTCGCGAACGAAGTTCAGAATCAACAAGGGTTCGTAGAACTTCTTCCCATTAAAGTCACACGACTTTGTTTTGTCACATAAAAATCACAAAACTCAGACTATAGAAATGAACAAACTAATCGCAATGTTCGGAAACCCAACCCTTCTGGCATAGACGTATCCAGGATTTTAATACGTTGGGTGCACTATTATCTATAAAATAGATGTTTGGTTCCATTATATAAAAAATTTTGGTGGCGGCAAGTTGACGAGCAGACTATATTGATACTATATTCGCAAAAAATATCATTCACTTTAAAATTGTACTCGACGAGTTTTTATACTTTGAAAACAGTCAATAATAGAATCATTGTTTACGGTTTTAAATATCTCACGCTCAATATAGCAAATTAAACAATCATTCAAAAAAGTTTTTAAAAGCGGAGCTTAATATTGAACAGGGGGTTTTGCCGCTTTGAATCCACTGAGAACCTCGGAGCTGAGAGAGACGAGTTATGAGTACTTTGTTTTTAGGGATTTCAAAGTTTTTGTATTCAAAAGAATGATTAAGACATGAAAAATAAAAAAGAATTCAAAAAAATGTGTTTGTTGTTAATTGAAATGGTCATGGGGAATTGGAAATTTATTTATTTATTTATCTTTTATAAAAGGAATTAATCAAAAAGAATTGTGTGGGGATCAAACCCCTGACCTTGGGGACGAAAAGGAGACAAGAGAGACACTTTGTCACCAATGCACCAACCCAATCACTTGAGCATGGGTGACCACAAATATATTTACCCACATAATTGAAAAGATTAATACTTTATACATAACCTAGGGAGGGGAGCATCGGTGCATGTACTCCACCCCCTCCACATAAATCCTTTCCCTGCCTTCTGGTGCAAAAAAATAATTGTTACTCATTTAAACTCTCACATCAACACATTCGATATTTTAACGAATTTTTTTTCAATCTAATGGATACCCGACCCAATTGAAAAAGAATCCAAAATCCAAAACCCGGAAGAAATCAAAGTATATTCAAGTAATCGAGTATTTCAAAAATTAAGTGGTTGTTGAGTGTCAAAAAATTTCAATTCATTCTGTTGGCCCAAGAATAGGTGAAGTTTTGAAGATTGACAAAAGAACTCAGTCATGGACCAGGCCCATCTTATGAAGCACAATCATGATCAATCTCTACACGTGAGATGCACGTGAAGGAGATAAGGACTACTATCAAGCAGCAATATCTCCTGATCTGATCGAAAAGGTTGCATATTAGATAAGGGGAAAAAGTCTCCTTATATGAAGAGAACACAATCCAGGATGAAGATAGTGTTAGATTTTGAGAACATCATAAACTCTTCTACGATGGAAGAGCAGCAATTGAGTCCTAATTAAACTCTGATCACTAACCTATTAAATGACAGTTATTGTTCTCTTTTACAGGCATTGCACATATGCAGAAGCAAAACTAAATTGAGAGCAAAAGAGCAAGGCAATTTTACAATCAATTTATGTGTGATTTAAGTGTGCACTCCTGAAGCTACTTGAACGAGATAGAAGAACCAGTTACATTGTGTTTTATTCTAGTTCAATTGTAGTAGGTGGTTTAAAATTGTACCTTTCAGGTTTCATAGAAGCAATTGTATTAGGTACCTAGAGTGTTCAAGTTATAGCTAACTTGAAGTTGTCACAACAGTTGAGGTTGTGTGCTATAACGGGATTAGAGTTAATCCTTAGATTTACAAGAGTTTTGTAAATGTTGTTTTGGCTCAGTGATTTTAGTGGAAGTTTGGAAAAATCCTACTGAGTAGTAGGTCGTGGTTTGTTCACCTTTTGAGCCAAATCTTTGTGTTCTTTATTTTCAGCATATGTTATTCCGCAAACAGTAGTAGTTGGAACACCTAGAAGAACCAGGTTCTTCTATAAAGTAGTTAAGCGAAAATTGGGTACCACACAAATCACCCCCCCCCTCTCTTGTGTGGTATTGACGCTTAAAACATCAATTGGTATCAGAGCGGGTTATCCTTGAAGAGGCTAACACCTTAGGAAAAGATCAAGATGAGTGCACCACCTGGAAACTGGGAAGGGCAATCCACTGCTAGGCCCCCACTCTTTAATGGTCAATACTATTCTTGGTGGAAGAACAGGATGAGAGATCACATCATAGGAGAAGGCTATGAACTCTGGGACATAGTCACTGATGGTCCCCTGGCTACTACAAAGAAGAATGCTGAAGGAGTGGACGTGCCAAAGACAAGAGCTGACTGCACTACTGAAGATTTGAAGGAATGGGAGAAGAATGCCAAGGCCAAGAAATGGCTTGTGTGTGGACTGGGTCCAGACAAGTACAGCAGGATTCAAAGTTGCACCACTGCTAAGGAGATATGGGACACTTTACAAGTAGCTCATGAAGGAACTCCTCAAGTAAAGAGATCAAGAGGAACACTGCTATATTCTCAATATGAGAATTTCACCATGAAGGAAGGAGAAACTATCTAGGCGATGTACACAAGGTTCACAACACTAACAAATGAACTTAAATCTCTTGGGAGAATGATCCTTGAAGAAGACATGGTTGAGAAAATTTTGACAAGGGTCTCACCAATAACTTGGGAAAGCAAAATCACTGCTATTCGGGAATCAAAGAACATTGCTACTCTCAAGTTGGATGAAATAATTGGAAATCTCACTGCCTATGAACTGAGAAGGCAAACCATGAAAATGGATGCACCTAAGAAGGAAAGGAGTCTGGCTCTCAGAATAGCTGAAGGTGAAGATCTAGAGGATGACGAAGTGGCCATGATAACAAGGGATTTCAAAAAGTACCTGATGAGAGGAAAGGGTTCTTCAAGAGGTACAACCTTCAACAAACCAAGAGCTCCTGAGAAACAGACCCACGAGGGTTGCTACAAATATGGCAAGACTGATCACATGATCAAGAACTGTCCCCAATAGGAAATTGAATGGAAGAAGGAAAGGGCTGAACGAAGGAACAGAAAGAAGGAACAGGTTCAACCAAGAAGGAACAAAGGATCAACCAAGGCTATGTTGCTGCTTGGGGAGAGACATCAGATGAAGATTCAGAAGATGAAGCTGGAGATGAACAAGCATTTATGGCCATCGGAGAATCAGATGATGAACAAGAGGCCCAAGTGAAGGGAAGTAGCCAAATATGGTACATGGATAGTGGCTGCTCAAAACATATGACTGGAAGCAAGAACCAGTTCCTTTCACTTGAGGACTTAGAAGGAGGTAATGTCTCCTTTGGAAATGGGAAGAAAGGTGAGATTATTGGGGTTGGAAAGGTAGGTAAGACAGACTCACATTCCATTGAGAATGTCTACTTGATAGATGGCTTGAAATATA